ATATATATATATATCTATTTATATACACACACACACACACACATATATATATAAAACCCTTATATGTGGATATGTGTGTGTGTGTATATGATATTTTATATGAATTTTTGAATGAATTTGTGACATTTATTTTAGTATTTACAGTAAGTTTTGAAAAACAATTTATAAAATGTTTGGTTTGCAACACAACATAGAATGACCCATGTACATTTTCACATTGAAATATTTGTTTCCTTGTGGGATTTTGGTCATATTAATCTTTCTTGCTGTTTTCCTTCACTCGTTAATCTTCGGCCTGCTTTGCATCTGCATCCAAGAAGCCGAGGTGTTAGTTATCAAGTCTGTTTTACATCTCACCATGGTAGCCAGGCTCATTTAGAACAACAGTAGCTGTATTCAAAGAAAATAATCGCTGGACTACAACAATTCAGGGCTGTAAAGCTTTTATACGTGTCAGCAGGAGCAGGAACAATCGCTGGCCAACATCCTTGGGGAAAACACTGACAAGATGCAGCTTACCAGGAAGATACTGGATTTGAAACAGGTGGGTGATTCTAGACAGCAAACACTGAAATTGCTGCTAAATTCTCAGCAGGCCTCAATTATCACTACTGGAAAACAATTGGCTTTTTTGAGAGTATCTGTTTTATCGTCCAATTTAGTACCATTGTTTACCTGTATGTTAGCAAGTGCTTCTGATTTGCAATGCAGGCCGTCATTGCACATATAGGCCGTCATTCATTGTACTTTCTCACAGATGTCACTGCTTCACTAGCAACCCTAAAGCCAATTGAAACAGCCAGTTGTACTTTTAGGGTGGGGGATATTAGCCAAAAATGCGATCCAAGCACCTGGAAGAAATATGGCTTGGTTAAATGTAAGATCATTAGAGCTCAGGAAACCTTGTGTGTCTGACTTTCTTTCAGGATGAGCAGCTATATCATAATCTTCATGAGGAGATCAATCATATGGCCCTCAGACTGGAAAAACAGGGAAAGACTGAAGGAAAGACCATCTCAACCCGCAGGAAACATATCAACAAAATGTTAGTGCATTAATAATAATAATTAGCAATTTAATAATCATTTGAATAATTATATATATATATATATACAGTGGAGATCAAAATTAGAGGACAACCTACAATTTCCTAAATTTCAAGGTCACTGCTTAGTCGTATTTGAAGTTAGCATATTTCATAAATTAATTGTATTCTGAAGCACAGTATAAACAAACTTAAATGAGATATTTGAAAAAGAACTCTGATCAAAATTAGAGAACACTTTCAGATACCTCCAAGTTATTATCTTGACAAACTCTGTTTAACTGGCAGCATTCCTCTAATTTTCACTGAGATTGGTAGATGGCGGGCCGCTCTAAGGTGACTAAAAGCCTGAGACAGGAGGCAGTCCAGATGAAGACCAAAGGGACGACCCTTTCAGAAACTGCATGAGAAGTTTGTCATTCCAAATCTGTGATTTCTCGAGTATTGCAGCTTTACAATGACACTAATTCATTCAAGTCCCCCCAAAAAGGCTGGTCGTCCACATAAGACAAATGAAAGAGAGGACAGGATAATGCAGAGACTCTCAATGGGGAATCGGTTCAGCACTGCAGCTGGAATTGCTCGTCAGTTCAGCGCTGATCAGGGTCTTGATCTGTCTCGGCTCGTTTAAGAGAAGTCGGACTGAAAGCACAGTCTGCAGTGATCAAGCCTCTCATCAGCAGAAAGATTCAAAAGGCTAGACTCACCTTTGCTGAGGAGCATGTTGTGTGGAGAGAGGAAAACTGGTCCAAAGTTCACTGTAGTGATGAGAGCAAGTTTAATTTATTTGGGTCTGATGGGAAACATTATGATCAGCGTCAAATGGTGGAAAAACTGAAGCCAGAGTGCGTAAAGAAGTCAGTGAAAGCTGGAGGAGGAAGTGTGATGGTTTGGGGGATGTTTTCTGCAGCAGGAGTTTGGTCTCTTATACAGATACATAGCAGGTGAATGCAAATGTTTATCAGAACCTCCTTCAGCAACATGCAGTTCCTTCCCTGCAAGCATCTCCCAATCAGCCAAAGACAATGTTCCCATCACACTGCAAAATGGGTAAAGCAGTTCTTGAAGCTGAAAACACTGAAATAATGAAATGACCGGCCCAGAGTCCTGATCTGAATCTCTGGAAAATCCTTGGCGACAAAGTTCTGGCTAAGAAACCCACTACAGTCACCGAACTATAGAAGAGACTGGAAGAAGAGTGGAGCAAGATCACAGCAGCGCAGTGTGAGAAACTAGAGATGTGCTGAAGTCACTCAAAGCAGGGCCTCGACAATTCCTACTGATTTCTGACAGCTGTAACCCTCCAAAATATCAGTCGTAATCTTCTTTCATGCTACAGTGGTTCTTGTACTCTGATTTTGATCACTGTGTTTCCACAAAATAAAGATTTTTGTTGAAATGCCATGATTATTTTGTTAAACATGTTAGTATAACAGTGGTCTACCTACAGCTAATATTCCTTCAAAAATTGAGTGATGTAGATTAACATTATTTCAGAAAAATCAAGTATTTATAGATTGTTCTCTAATTTTGATCGCCACTGTGTGGTGTATACACACACACACACACACATATACATATGATATATATATATATACACTTGTCGTAATCTTCTTTTGTGCTGCAGTGGTTCCTGTTCTCTCATTTTGATCACTGTGTTTCCACAAAATAAAGATTTTGTTGAAATGCTTTGGTTATTTTGTCAAACATGTTAGTATAACAGTGGTATACCTACAGCTAATATTCCTTCAAATTTTGAGCGATGACGATTAACAATATTTCAGAAAAAATCAAGTACTTATAGAATGTTCTCTAATTTTGACCTCCACTCTATGTATACATACATATAATTATAATTTTTGTATGTATATATTATATAAATAAACAAATACATGCATAAATATACAAAAAAATATTCAAAGCTAATAATAATATCACATCATTATATGAATAATTAAATAATGCATACACAAATAATAATAATTACTCAAATAATTATAATTTAACAATCAAATAATTTTTTTATTTATTAACTACCTAGGTGGCTGAAGGCCCAGTCGCACCTGAAAGAATATCAGGAGAATCTCCAGCTCGCCCTCGAAGTCTCGTCCTTCTACCAGCAGGCCGATAACATTGTCTGTTCCATCGACAACATGGTAGTCATTTAGCTTCATTGTGCTATTTCTGTTCAAACCCCGCAGGAAACCCCGTATCTGTGGCGTTTCGCTTCGACGTGTCCTTTGATGCGAATATAACCCGACTGTGTCTGTTGACATGCTCATGTAATCTAAGAATGTTATTTACGGTTTGCTCTCCTTTTTTAACTTCTCATCCAGAGAAAAAGCCTCTCTGCGAGCAACGGAGTGGAAAACGCCAGAGACGGGGAAATCCGGGACGTTGCCAGTCAAATCATGGTGTGCGATCCAACATTCACATCCCATTATAGTCACACGCTTGACCCTAAACGCGTTAGTTCACGGTCCAGCTCTGTGTCAAACACCGTCCTGACGGCCGTGTTTGTTTTCCTGTCGTTCTGTGTGGTTTCAGATGCTGGATGTGAGCGTTTCCCAGCTCTCCAACCTGCACCCGGCGCTGGCGGCCCGCGTCGCACAGAAGCAGAGCGAGGTGAAAGACTGCTGGGCCATCCTCCAGAAGATTCTCAGGTAACTCAGACCAGCAGAGTTATAAACCACACAAGCCCTACGGTGTCCTCTCAGGGACAAGAGCCATTTCCCTCCGTAATGGGCTTTCCACAGAGCCGAAGGCGCTTTCCACAATCCTGTTTTTGTTGCATTTGTATTCCCCACCAGCAACCGCATGGGACTCGGCCAGGAAACCGCTTCCAAATGATAATTAGATGCATATAAAAGATGTGTGCTTATTTTCATAATGCCACCAATTACTGATCTGAATTTCTCCTTCTGTTTAGTGTAACGCTTTGAAACACTAAACACCAAAACAATATCGAATTTAGTTGGAAACGACGCTTAAACTCTCTTTTTTTTTTTTTTGCAATTTGCTCAATGAATCCAAGTTTGAGCTTGTTTTGTGTTTTATTGCTCCATCATCTAAAGCGTCCGTATTGATTTCATCATCGTTTGAGGTTTAAATGTCTGCGATTTGTGCTCCCCAGCCCAGTTAGTCAAATAAATTATGTAATTAGAGGAATTTATTTGTTATATTAAATGTGTAAGAGTTTATTTGGGCAATACAGATGTTTAATCAAAATGAATGCATAAGTTACTAATGGTAAAATAATACATTTTTGAATTTCTTTTTTTAGTAAATTATAAGTATTATTTAAATAATTATTAAATAATACATGTATAAATATTCATGTAATTATTAAAATAATTATCAAATAGCTAATAAGAATATAAATGATAATATTATATTTTTAAATAATTAAAATACAAATATTTTAATTATTATATTTTATAGTAATTATAATTGTTAATGTTATATAAATAATAATTACTTTATTACTATTTAATAACTACATTTTAAATAAATACATATATATTTAAATATTCATATAATTATTCAAATAATGATTAAATAGCTAATAAGAATAATAAAATTAACAATGTTATT